GGTCACAACGAAGCGGGAAAAGTGTCCAGGAACTTTAAATGAGAAATCACCTTTCCTTCCAGTACGAGTTAAATATTTTTCTCCGTGATAAATATACCCATATTTAAAAGGTGTATTTTCTGGACCACCTCTTGCCACTCCTTTAACAACAGTTTGCCTCACGACACAATCGCCGCAACCACATTTTGTTACTCTTTTCATGTCAAACGAATGCCGGAAACAATTGACTTTAATCTTTTTTGTAGCAATGCTTGACAACAAAAATTTTCTTTGCAATCGTTCAAACGTTTTAAACCTCGTGCTACGCATTTCTTTTTAGGCATTTGCCACATCAATGCTATTCAAGTTTGTTTCTTTGTCTGTACAGCCCGGTGGCAGTGTAACCATACGTTTCGATGGTGTCGGATCGCAGCTATCATCGGTAGCATCTGGTAAATATACTTTTTTTATTAGAAGGTTTTTAAAAATGGCCGAACGTTAATTTACATGCAACAATTCTAGACGAAAGCAAGGGAAAATTGGTATAAAAAATTAAAACGTTGCTGGGCATCGTAAAATGAAAGGGCGTATTTAATGTAGTTTAATCAAGATTATAGAGATATCAAGCATGCTCGAAAAACTAGTATTTTATTCACATAATCCTATTAATCCTCCTAATAATTAATCCTACTAAGAGTAATCGGTCGATATGGCACAATAATCTCTGTTTCTCTACGAGTAAATAACATATCATCCCAGAATAGGTCAATTAATTTGGATAACTTAAATCAATCCAGGAAATTAATCTAAAGCGAATTGGAGATGGTTCATAGCTACTTTTGTTTCCCAGCCATAAGACAATTCGCAATACGCTGACGACCTAATAATTTATATACTTACTAAAAACAATAATATCGGCAGGATCCGAAAATTCTGCTCCATGATCATCATAAACTCGGCACTTTATTTCCCCGCTCATATTCTTAAATACATGAGGTATAATCAATTTACTGCTTCGTAATTCATCATGTTGGTATTCATCGGCTCCGCGATCATTAATCATCCTATAGAATTATACGAAATTAGCTTTGTTCAAATTCTTTCGCTACTCCTTCTCTAATTTTAGGCGTGGGGTTGTTTGGCATCCCCGGTTAATATAGATTTTCTACTTACTCCGATGAAATATTTTGAACTTTGAATGAACAATTGGGGTTAGAAGTGTTAAAAAAATGATGATTTTAGAATGATAGCTCTTATCATATAAATAGATTTCATGCGCAAGATTTTAACAAGAGAAGACTGGATGGCTATGCAGTCTGTTTTCATTCCGTGTTTGCTGCAAGGATGCAGTTGACGTATAATTATTTATTTGTTTATGCAGTGATTGCAGTCGACTTTAAAAGCTTCACGAAGTGACATTCGTTTTATGAAACTTCACAGTAATTTATTTTACACTTTCATGCAAAACTCTTTTTTTACTAAAAGTGATAGTGTGATAGCTTTTCAAAGTTGGTTATGTCTTGTCATTGCAAAACGACATATCAAATACCATTATAATTGAAATAAACATGTAAGCTGCATCTTTAGAGCAAATGCGGGATAAAATCATAAAAAGATTCATCTATACCTCGTCAAATAAATTAAAAAAATAAAAGCGTTTTACAAAGTAGTTTTTACCTACATAATTTTAGGCCAAATTTTTTTCATTTCTTTGTGCTTTCAGGTTCAGTATTTTCGTTATAATAGCATATTTAATTTTTTCACTTCGAAAAAACAACCGCCATTATGCAAAATCCGCTTGATTATCAAAGGTTATCCCGTAATAATCTGAGGTCGGTCGACCAATCAGAGGCCAGAATTTTCAATAATACCCTTTGCAATTATGCAAATGCTAAATTTATATTGACATTCTGTATGATTGGGAATTGCGGTTGAAAAGGAGGACATACCATTCAAATTTTGCCTTTGTACTGGATTTTCCTTCACAGCACAGTGTCATAGGTTGACCTTCTAGCCGTAGTTTACCTTCAGGGTGAGATGTTATTTCTGGAAAAACTAAAAAGTTTGGAAGATAGGCGTTTAAAAAAAATTCTTTCCTTATATATAAATGTCATATATGTTTTCAAGCACAAATTTTTCAAAGCACGCATGTTTATAGAAAATATTTCTCAGCTCTTACCAATTTTTTTCAAAATCACGGTCACGACTGCTGTTGTGGGGTTTATTTTTGTTGTTCTAATTGTTTGTGGTAGATAACTCTGTCTGTTCACTACGATGTTATCTTCTGAGATACAGAATCCTTTCAATTCAAATTTTCCAGAAATACTCGTTTTTGCCAATATTCTAAAAGGAAATTCGGCCAAAGCGATGGTTGCATTATCCAAGAGAACGCCTGTGTTATCCTTGACCACTCCAGTTAGTGTGTTATCGTCACAAATGCAAGCATCACAAGCACTATTCAGCCTCCCAGTTGTGCAGATTTTATTACAATCTAAATTAATAATTTAGTGATATGTAAAATGCTGCCCGTATGTTATCCTTCTGTTCTTGAAATTCACATGGAAGGTTACAGTCGCGGCAATAGAAGTGTACCGAAAAATATCAAGCAACTCATTTACTCTAATTTATCAGTTGTCTTAAGGAATTACAACTATAAGTATTACAATTATTTCTCACCTGGACATTTCCAGTTTGCACATGACCGAGATTCTATTGATTTTCCACGGCATAGCGTGTCATCATTTAAAACTGCATTTGTCCCAATGCATGTTCTTTGGCGGGTTTGAATTCCATTGTCACACGAAACTGTGCAATCTGTCCATCCTCCCCACCTCGACCACGACGCTGCGACTGCATGAAAAGATTTTCGAAAGGAATTAATTTTAAAGCATGTTAATAGTTCCCTTATACCTTTTTCAACTTACAGTATATTCAACCTTCATATTCATATAATACTCCTGAAAGTCTTTATAAACTGTTTATTCGACAAGTCTTTCGAAAATAGACGAAACCTCTTAGAATAGCTTAGTCAGTTGAGTCAGTTACTTAAAGTGCCTATATCACTTGTGGGATCTTTACGGATTTGAATAGAGCTTGAAAAATTAGTTTATAAGTTCTACAACCCTTTTTGATATAGTTAAATAGTTTCGGAAATATTTACATCTAAACATGACGATTTGCCTAAATTTCCGTCGTGCTCGGGGGCCTGGGACTCAGGAACCGAGTTCTTGTCAAAAATAATATAATCAATTGTAATTTTACTTCGATCTTCCAATAACGCAAAATATTTTGAGAAAAACTCGCCCAGTTGCTACAGCCATACACAACGCACCGTTCCCGCATTTTTTTCTTGAAAAGCGCAAACTATATCGCCAGTGAAACTCTTCATGTTTACATTATAAAAGACGGCGTGTTTGCAAATCATTCCTGAGTCCCAGTCCCCCCAACCGACGTATTTTCGAAACTATTTAATTATATCAAAAAGGGTTGTAGAACTTATAAACTAATTTTTCAAGCTCTATTCAAATCCGTAAAGATCCCACAAGTGATATAGGCACTTTAAGAAATTGAAGAAGTGGTTTGTAGGCATTTCGAATTTTTATTCTCTTGCGATACACAAAAGCGAACCGAGAAAAGCTATCATGTGAATTTCAGTGCTAAACGTCAGAGCTAGTTCACAGTGAACATGCAGATAAATTGAACTATTAGTGGGAACAAATTTTTCAAACTTTTCTGGAAACCGTTAAAATGCGAAAATAATTACCTATACAGTGTGGTTCTGAGGCGTTCCATTTTCTACTGTAGGTACATTGTAGAGCTTTTTCTCCAACCAACACATAGTGTTGATCACAAACAAAACTTATTTCGTCCCCTTCCAGTGAACCATCTCCAAGTACCTGGCCGTTTTTAATATGTGAAATTTTCCTGCAAAAAGCTGAAAACGAAAATAGTTTTGTGAGTCGCATTTCGACATTTTAACATGAAAAAATGTATATTACTATTATTCAGTAGAAATTTACGCACAGTAGAAAGATTAAATCATAACTGTGATTAAATAAATAGAGATTTCTTAATCGGAGGTGGTGACGTATGGTATTTTCGTACGCGTTTCCATTACTAAATTTGTTTATTTAATACATACCGAGGTTTTTCAAAAACACTACAAAACATTTTTATTGAATTTTATTCTTGGTAATTGTAAAGATCACTCGCTACATCGGAAAACGTTTAAAATTGCAACTTTTAAGAATGAATACAATAGCGTTAAAATTTCAATCTTCGGTGAATTATATATAAGTATTAAATACCACGGATATTAACGAGCTTAAGATTTCAAAAACGGAAAGAAAATAATACATAAGCGTAATTTCAATCAAAATAAAAAGAGGGACTGTCTTCATCTGACGAGTCCATATTCCTCATCAAGCTAAGAGTTTTTTAACTGCCATAGCATTTGTTTTGAACCAGCTTTTACCAGATGAAGGATTTATAATAAGATTAATTCCAAGGTAGAAAGGCCGTTCGGGATTATTCGTAGCGTCTGGTCTTTTACGGCAATACGTTTTTGGTTTGACAGGTCTTATGTTACGTGTTCTGCACCAGTTCGAGTTTTTGTCTGGCGCTCCAAGTATTCCAAATACTCGGTTCCATCCGCTGCTCTCATCAGTTTAACATCTCCTTAAACACATTTCCCTGTGCTCGTCGCAACCTCGCAGATCAAAATGCAGCAAGTTGAATAGCCAAAGTGTATTATTTTATAGAATTTTCTTCGACTGTCAAAATATATTTGACAGTGCAAGAAGATTCTTTTCATAAGAATGTTTTTCTCGTCATTCGTTATTTCTTGAGTTGTTTACTTCTAGCTTGAAGACATCGATTTTTCGTGTCTTTTCAAATGCAATATCTATATATTCGCAGTATATTCTTGTGCTCTTTCAAAAGCGATGAAAACCCGATAGGAAGCCCCGAAGGCTCGATGGTTCGTATTCTTCACCTCAAAATGAACTCATAGAGACAGTTGTTTAGTTCTTCGACTTGCAGTTCTTCGGGATTTCAGACAGTTCGTCTCTCTGTCTCAAAAACTCAACAAGCATCTTTACGACTCGGTCGGTTTTAGCACGAGTGTTTTTGTTTTTCTGGTCAATAATATATTCATCAATTGATTTTTCTAGTGTTGAGAATCTTTCCCCGGCTGTAGACATTGTCAAACTTGCAATCCAAACTTAAGTAGACTTAGGGGATGAATACGTGGTGTCTTTTCAGAAGCAAACCGGGCTAAAATTTTCACTGAATTGCAAGTTTCAGCCTAGGCTGTGTTTATGACGTGTCAGATTATTTTAAGACCAGACTGAAATTTAAGTTTGTAAAGGCTGGTAGTAGATCTGTTTCGATTCTTCGAGCACTTTAAAATCCCGAATGACATTAACTTGACTTTTAAGGCTGAAATTTCAGGCGAAAGGTGTAAGATTCAGACATTTTATCTTAATAATATGATACAGTGGAAGAAAATATCTAATTTCCATTGCAGAAAATGACAAAGAACCTGAATGGTAGTAAAGTTTGTTTCATAACATTTCGATTATTGCGATTATAGCGATATTAACATTTCGCTGCATCTTTGTGCTTAAAAATTCGTTTATATACGAAAAAATCGTTTACTTGTATACGATTTTCTATTTCACGCGTTATGAAGAGTTTCTAAAGAGTTTCATATGGGAAACATGGCGAACGTACTTATATTGGATAGTGTATTTTGGTAAAAATTGAATTTCTTTTTGGCGAAATTTTTTTCCTCTTAAGTAAAATTGAATCATGAAAATATAACAAGTTTGAAAACATCAACATCGTTCAAAACTATTAAACAGCCCCCAAGAACATGTAAGATCCAACTGGTGGAGCTAACGTACTGTGTGGTTAGCTATTTAGTGAAAATGGCATGCAGAGTTAAAATGCAGTTAGAGCATTAAAGTGCCTATACCGGTTGCGGATTTTGTATATAAAAAGTTTGCGGTAGTTTGAAAAACTTTGCAATACATTTTGTTATGGAAAATTTTTGTCTTGAAGGATTCTGGATTCATTAGCCTTTAAAGTTACCGGACGTGACGTCAATCAGAAATTGCCAATCGGTTTACTTTTGTTTAAGTTGCACGGAACTCCCGCTACGCGCTCACATGATGAAGAAACCTGCTCAAATAGCTACTTGTTACTTTGTCAAATAAAAAAAACTTACGAGGTCTTTAAAATATATGAATTTTGCATCTTACACAACGTTGTCCGTTTGTGCCTATAAAGTAGAACCTATCTTGTCGGCAAGCTTGTCGACGTTTGCGCAACTTTTTATATTGGCGGACATTTTGACCTTAGTTGCCTTTTTTAGTCAATAGACTGAGTAGCTGAGTTTTCGTTGCTACATAACAAGACAGCATTAATGGATGATGAAAATGAAAAAAGACCAAAATACCAACCTAAACACTTTGGTGGCATGTTTGACCATTTTCCTTCATAACAGTTTATACTAGCTGGACCGATCAGTTTATAGCCGTTATTGCATCCGAACTGAATTGATGAACCATGTGATCGACTTTCAGTATTATTCGCATAACCATTTGTCGGTATTCTCTTCAGTGGTGGGCATGATGCTACATATGAAAATCAGTGCAGAAATGGGTTCAAAAATAGAAATCATTAGGTAATTAAAGTGGCTTTAATTAAAGGTATTTCAAGAGTTATAGGTAGCTCATCCGAGCAGCTCACGGGAACATTGAACTTTAGATATCATAAAATAATATCAAAATGTGAGAGGGGAGAAAAAAAAAATTAAAAAATTAAATAATATTCAAAAATATTCTCAAAATTCTATAATGCAGGCTCAAAGAAACTCCCCCTTTAAAACACCAGGAACTGCATGGTCCCCATTTTTTTGTTGTTGACATATTTCGATGTTTAATTTAATTTCGTTTAGATTTTATGATGTAGTGATTAAAATATTCCTACCTTTACACGATGGAATTATTCCGCTCCAACTTCCTCTTTTACAAGTCAATTTGCGAGATTTTTCTGGAGTTAAAACTCCGTCCACTGGACATTCAAATTCTACTTCTTCTCCGTTGTAAAATCGGCTACCAATCACTTTTGCATTTGTATCTTTTGAGGGATCAGGGCATGATCCTATAGAAAAATAAGACACCCAATTCAATATAACAAATTTGCACCTTATTAAAATAATTTAAAATCATTTATATGACCACTCATTTTCAGTCTTTTCAATCTACTGGCCTTGCAATTAGAAGTCTGCATCGCACGGACTGTATACTTTTCATCTTTCCTCATAGAATTGCCATGTACTGCACATTTATTACTAGTATACATGCAGGTAAACATGCACGAATGGATGTTGTCTCTGAATTGCTTACTTTCGCACTTGGGATATGAAGCATTCCAGCTTCCAGCGTTTGTACACTTTAAAACTTTCTCCCCAACTATTATAAAGTTTGGATCACAAACGAATGCTATTTCATCTCCTTCAACCGTCCCCTTTCCAATCACGCGTCCATTGGCAATACTTGAAATTTTACTGCATGTAGCTGTGAATGAGGTTCACAACACAATTGTCTTGAAGTGGTCATATCTGTCATTTCTAATACATCAGGTCACTTTAATCATTATTTAACTGCACATGATATTTCTTTTTTAGCTATATTCTTAATTGAATTACACACGCTCAAAAGGCTTTCTGCAATAATTTCATTTACGTGATGTATGCCCTGAAACTATAATACTTAGTTATTATTTTTTTTGTATTAAGAAAATTTAATTTACGAAAACATAGTTAAATGAACACTCTCTATAAACACTGTCACAAACCTAAGCAGCTGGGAATTTCTTCTGACCACCTTCCATTATTGCATGTAGCTGTTGATGCGCCAATTAGCTGATAACCACCGTTGCATATGAACTGTACTGAAAACCCGTGTTCACGATCGCCTTGTATTAGACCATTAGGCAATAATAACTCCTCACACGATGCTACAAATAATAGTATGAAAACGAATTAATAAAATAACTTGGCATTATCTTGAATCGAAATATACGAAATGAAAGTCGTGTTATGCGCTTTTAAGAACTTTTTCCTTCCGCCTTTTAGATGCAAAGAGGATGTAATGATGGATCAAAATTACTCCCGTCCCAAGCTATATAAAATTGAAGATAAGAAGTTAATTCTTGCTTCTACGATTTTCGAACTTTATATTATTCCCTCACCTGGGGAAGCCCTTTGGTCAAAAAATCAAGACTTTTTTGTACATAGTTCAGATAGGTAAACATTTGACAAATAATCACAAATATACAAAGCAATATGGTAAAAATTAAAGGGATATGGCAATAAAAATTATTTGTGCACATCGTATGGAGCCTTTTTACAAAATTTGTTTATCTTCCTTTATTTATTTGTTTATCTTACTTTATATATTTACTTCGCAAGATATTGGCGATCAAAAACATCGAATATCGAGATACATCCGCCATCTTGTTTTATAATGAGATCTGATTACGTGACGTTAAAAGTAGGGTTAACGCTTAAAAAATAACAATTACATGCTTACGCTTTAGTTTAGAACTCTTACAATTCAAACGCTATAATTTGAGATACGTGCGTTTGTAATACAATGGAACTATCACTTCGCCCGATCGTTAATTTGAAGTTACAGAACGAATTTTCACCCAGCTTACACGTAACGCATATCAGAGCAAGAATATGCATATCCAAAATGGCGGATGGAAGATTATTTCATTCGAGAATATCTTTAGAAGTAATAAGTTAACAAAAATCCGTAAACGAATTTTGTACATAATCATGACGTTCTTTCAAAATAGACAAAGATAATTTTCCTTGTCGTACCCCTTTAAAATAAAATTGCTTTAGATGTCTTTTTTTCAAGTAAAAAGTTAAGTGATATAGGATATGTGGTGATAGATAGTGTACAATGCACGGGGGATTTCTCGATACGAACGAGACAAGATCTCGTGTTAAATTATATATAATTATGTTTTTTTATCACGATATTGCCGAAATGGAAGGAACTTTTCAATCACCTAAAAAGCCATACCGAACGGCTCCAGTCGTCCACACCCAATATACGCCCCTTTTTCTCGGAGAAAACAACCCCTGTACATGTAAATACTTACTTCTACATGTTGGAATTTCTCCATTCCACACTCCATTTTCACATGTCAATTTTCGTGATGCTTCAGGAACAAGACTAACGTCAGGAGGACAAACAAATTCTACCTCTTTCCCATCGAAGAATTCGGTTCCTACCACTCTCGCGTTAGTTTCTTCGTTCGGATCTGAGCACGTTTCTTCGGAAAATCCAGAAGATATACAAGTTTTTTTAAAATAAAAAAGGATGCGTGTGCACTGTCATACAGTCATATTAACCTAACCACACTTGCTGCCTCATGTAATACCGAATGAAATCTTTATATGCGATGTCTATATAATAGATATAGACTAGTTTGATATCTCTAATGTACCTGTATAATCGTCTCATTTAAGAAGTTTTCTGATTAGTGACCTTAATAAGCACCCTGTGTGAAAATTGTTTTCCACTAGCTATCAAAGGTCCTTTCTATAGCAGCTATATATATATATATATATATAGTGTACCTTCACAGATCGGTTCAGAGGCATTCCAGGTTCCACTACTTGTACATTTTAAAATTTCCTCGCCTACAAGGACGTAAGTTTCATCACAAGCAAATCTTATTTGATCCCCTTCAAGGTTTCCACCTCCGATTACCAGACCATTTTCAAATGACAAAATTCTCCCGCAAATCGCTAAAAGTAACGAGATGTTAAAAATTTTTAAATTTTGCAATTAAAATTGTAAAGAATGATGAATGTGAAAAAACTTTATTTTAAAACATGAAAGAAAATTAACATGGCCAGAAAGGGCAAAAATAGCGTATGCAGATTGCCGTGAAATTTGCATATTTGTTCAAATATCTTTCAATGGCTGCACTATAAATTTATATTGCGCATTATTGACGAGGCTATTTCAGTCTCAATGGACCACTTGCATAATAGACCAACTTTTGATTCAGGTGACAAAAAGGGAATTTCCTAAAAGAGCATACAAAACTTAGTAAAATTGCCAAGTTTTGCTGTGAAATATTGTAAAGTGCCGCAGATATAGCCATGCGAAGTTGGCGAATTTTGTATACTTCTGTATTACCGCCGGACGCGTGTAACTAAATTAGTTACACGCTTCCAGCCGTAGTAAAAAAGTATACAAAATTGGCAACTTCGCATAGCTATATCTTCCGTACTACTTTACAGTTTGCAACCAAACTTGGCAATTTTACTAATTTTGGTATGTTCTTTTTAGCTGTTGTGATATATTTCCTGCTTGTCACCTAGATCTGAAGTTGGTCTATTATGCAAGTGGTCCATTTCCCGGTGAAAATTTAAAAGAGAGAAACCAGCGTCACGGGAGCTTCTGTTAGGGGGGGGGGTTAATAAAATCTGAGCAACATTCTTGTTTTACGCTTTTATTTTTTCTCAGATGGAAGATGAGCTTTGTGTATAAAAACTGACATCAAATCAACTAAACCCAGTAACAATCCCAACCCACACCCAGGATTGCCCATTTCGTTGTGATCGAGAACAGATTAAATATTCGATTCGAACATCAGGATGTTATTATGTAAACATCCGGTAGAGTTTCCAGTGAGCTGCATATGTATCTGGAGTAAGAACTTCAGTCCTTCGTCCTAGCAAAAATGTGAAGCCGAAGAAAGCGGAAATTGAAGAAGTTATAGAACAATCATTTATAGTACATACTACAGTCTTAAAGCAGGATGCATGAATGGTCGCCAGAGACCAGGCGACGACCAACCGCCATCCCAACGCTTTCCAAAATCTATAATTGCATGCCCAATAAAATGGCTTTATTCCTCCTATAGCCCGTACGCCTATGAGCAGCGTTCATGTTTGCAAAACTAAGGCAGTACGTTTAAAAGGCAAAACGAATGCTCCTGAAGGAATGACAGATTAAAGGGTATTGGCAATAAATTTTTTTATTCTTGCGATCAATTAAGCATATCTATGGAATACTTAATTTCCTATTTTTACTTGTCCAGTGCGTTTATTTGCTTAGATATATCCGAAAGCATTTGACAGCCATCCGCCATCTTGAAAAAAAACTCATATGCTAATATATGCGAAAATAAATTTGTGACGTCAGGTGCAGGGGAGCAGATTTACAATAGTATGCGTGCAAGCGCATTCTAAGATGACTTTGACCAGAAACCAACAGATAAACCAATTTTTTTCTTTCAATTGGATAGAAAACTAAGCGCTACTACCTTACTCTACGTATTAATGGTAAATTTAAAATAAACACGTTTATTTCGCCGTCGTAAAAGTGCTGATTATCATTATAGCTGTTACTATGTCAATTACGCCGGCTCGTCTAATTTGTACATTTCGTATACTGATCTCTACGCACACGACGATCAGGAAACCAATGTATATTTTCTCACTATTCACTAAACGTCTATTTATTTCGCTAGTGTTGAATTGAAGTCGAAATTTTAGCCGGCATCATCAAGGAACATTAGCATATCAGCTACATATATTTAAAGTGTCAACATTTTCAACTTGGTCAACCCAGATCAGATGACAATATTAGCCTCCACAGGGCTTGTTCATGTTGTCATTTAATGCGCAACAAACATACAAATTTATTATTTTGGTACTCTACTAGACTGTCTGAAATTTTATTGTTTGTGCATCTTGTAGGCACAGCATTTTTCAGTATATACGCTACAAATTAAGTTATACAACTGGATACTTGGCCCTATGTAAACATGCAAAGAACATGACTCATATGAGGCATCTATCAGGTTGCTGTGTGGGAGTCAAAACTAACGCTAAATAGAAAGCAATGAAGATAATTTTAAAGATTCAGGCAAACTGTTCCACAATAAGCAAAAACAGAGTTAGATGAGATTGTTATAACCCATGGCCATGCAGCACTATTTTGTAGTTTTTGCAGTTTATCGCTCAACGATGCCATCCTAGACGGAGTAAAATGGGGAAAATGTGGCTCAATTGACACTTGATGCACTCTAGCTGCTAGCTGTATCTTATATATCTTTATTCCTATTTGCGTTAGAGCGCTATTTCAGGATGTCACCAGTAAAACTGTTTATAAATTTCATCAATATGACCTTTTCCAAATCACGTTTTCGTCAATTGTAAGACTAAAAGATTTAGATATTGTAACTAACTCTTTCAAGTTGATTGTTGCTATTAACATGCAGTTTCATGATCATCAAATGTTGCAAGTCTTTAGCAAGAACCAATCATCACGGATACGGTTTACCGAAAATCGTATTCCAACGTTTTTTCGTGCCAACGTAATGATTCAATAGCATTCAGACTCTCCAAACACAAGCATTTTTAGCCCAAAACGCATGGTCGACTTCCTCATCAGACGATTGACTATCATCTGAGTCACTCTACGCAATGATATTGCTTCGCTTCAAACCTGGTTCGGTTTCAAATTGATAGGGCAATACCTCTTCTACTTGTTTATCATGGCTATTTTTCATTTAAGTGATTGAAAAGCGCGAAATCCCTTACAAGAACTACGACATCGCGACTTGCGCGTATAAAATATATTTGTTGTTTTGATCTCCCCTGCACCTGACGTCACAAGGGTCAAGTTACCAAAAGATAATTTTTTTGAAAATCGGTCCAAGATGGCGGACGAATTGAATATTAATCATGAAATAACTCGAGAACAAAACAGTTTGGGTAAAAAATAATCACATATTCATAATCAGGAGGTCGAATATAACTGATAGCAAGAATAAAAAAATTTATTGCCAATACCCTTTAAAACAAGAATATAGAATTATTAAATAACATGTATATAACGCGTTTTCTGATTTGTTGAAGCACGTGTTTGGATCAGGCTATCCAAACACGGAAGTTTCGCGGGAATTTAAAAACAAATTTATTATGGTTTGTTATTTTATAAAACAATTACTTAATGTCTTCCGTGTTTGGATGATCTGATCCAAACACTTGGGAATGTTGCTCGAGTTAAGAAAAACTCATCTTTGGCTCGCCTTTTAACTCTCGCAACATTCCCGCGTGTTTGGATCAGGCCATCCAAACACGGAAACCATTAAATAATTGTTAAATATCATGATCTACAACACAAACCTAAGCACTGCGGTAAATTCTCGGTCCACCCTCCATCAACACATCTTGCTTTAGATGCGCCAATCAGCTCATAACCATCAAGGCACGCAAATTGCACGGCTGAACCATGTGTTTTATCTGTACCACTTATTACTCCGTTAACGATTCTTCCCAGTGATGGGCATGATGCTATGTGAAAAATATTTTAAACATGGATAAGGCGTTTGTAAAAAGACGGTATTTGTAAAAAGACGTAAAAATCGTAACAATATTTCCATTGCACTTTCAGTTTCACTTACATTACTGATATGTGGTCAATTCTATCAATTCGATAGCTGTAACTTTTTATTGGTACGCAAAAAAGGTGAAAGTATGTAATAAGTCTATTATACGGTGCGATTATTAAAAAAGATAAAGAGGAAATAGTCTTCTTTGACTTTCCACCGTATAAAAGCTTTCGAACGAGTCAGATATCTTCCGATATCCAACATCTTACGAAACAAGATCATGAAATGCACAGCGTAAACGAACAGTATTGGAAGGAAGAATCTCGACATACGCAATCGAAATTTAACATAAAGCACCTTTATTATTTTAATTAACGAGATGTAAGAGATTCTAACCTTTACATGTTGGGAATACTCCATTCCATTTTCCACGCTGACATGTCAATTTTCTCGATGCTTCAGGAACAAGAATATGGTCTTGAGGGCACACGAATTCTACCTGCTTTCCGTTATAGAATTCATTTTCCGTCACCCTTGCATTCGTACTTTCATTCGGATCAGAACAAGTTCCTGTGGAGGAAGATGGTCAGAACACAGGGAGAATAATCTTTGTGAGAAAAGACCTATTTCTTATTACAGTTAACGAAATTAGCCTTTTATACGGTTCAGTGGTGTAGCAAACCTGAGGATTAGTCCAGGATGACAGGGCCTTTTTTAACTATATAACTGGGGGGCGTTCGCCCCCCCATCCCGTCACTCAGCCCCCCCCCCCACTGACGGTTTTTCGCCTCCCCAGTGAATGAGATATTTTCCTTTTACAAAGCAATAAAAAGTTAAGAAACATGTGAAAGCAAATTTTTTCTTGATGACCTTTGTAATTTCCCTTACAGAAACGCCTTGTTGAGTTTGTTTGTTTATATTCTTTTCATGTTAAATGAATTTTAATTTTAAAAAAAAAACATTTACAGTAAGAATGTAGTCTATTTACGTGAAAATGGCCGGAAACAGTGAAAATACTGTTTCAAGAATGCCTTAAAGGAGCAGTGTCACCGCGTGCGCATCTTTTCTGCGCATAACAAAAATTGTGTCGGAAATTGTCGGAAAAGCGATCGGAGATAATCGGCACCATTGTTATGAGTGAACAGTGAACTCATACTCTCTTCAACATGGTGAGTAAAAGTTTACATATATTTACATTTTTGCATATAATATACATAGCTGTAATCAGTGTACTGTTAACTGTATTTCATTACGCGTATAGACAAGTCGTTGCGATTGCAAGAGTTCTTGCAGCATCAAAAGAAAAGCGAGTGGGAGTCGTGGATGTCCTTGTAAAGGAAACAACGTCGAGTGCACGGCAGAGTGTCAATGTGGTACGAGCAAGAAACCTTGCAAGAACCGGGTATGTCTGCCTATAAATCTACGATATAACCAAGTTTTTTTTCTTTCATACAAGATTCAAATTCTTAATGTGGTTTTACTGTAGGATACGCCACAAAACACAGAGAGAGAGCGCGATAACCGCGACAAGCGCAGTAGAACACGTGGCCAAGCACAAGGCTTTAGACTGAGCAGTGCTAACTCCAGTAACTAACTACTGCAATCTGAGGATGCTTTGAGGGAAAAAGAACATAAGGATGTGAAGGTGGGCAAATACACATGTATTGTATGTAGATGAATTTCACAAGCCAACCTGTAGGTAGATTTGATAAAGTTATGATATATATGATAGAGTTATACTATCATGGGTTGACCGGCAGAAAAGATGCGCACGCGGTGACACTGCTCCTTTAAGGCCCACACAGACAGGACGCGAATTGGCAACGCGGCGCGAATTTTCAACGTTTTATATTTTTCAAAAGCAAATAAATTTTAACTTGTAGATTGCATTAAAATAATAAATTTTGATTGGTCTAGCGTCCATAGATTCCAAATTTTGATCCCAGAATTTAATTTATATGCTTCTGAAAACTGAAAATTTGCGCCGCGTTGCCGCTTCGCGTCCGGTCTGTGTCGGCCTTTACGCTTCTAAGCGAAGTGCAGAAAACGAAACAAACTTCCGAAGAGGCAAGTAAGTGCAAAAAAATTATTTAAAAAAATACAAAGTCCCTTTTGTCATTTCGCCCCCCCCCCCCACTAAAAAATTCTTTAAAAAGGCCCTGCAGGATGATACATTCTAGAGATTCAAAGGGCCTTAATACACTACACACTTCAAATTCAAGCCGGGAACAGTTGATGTCCTTTTGCCCAGTGTTAGCAATATATAACAGCAAAACATGTAATCCAAATTGTAAAATCGTGCTTTTTCGTATGCCACCGCGCTACCAAGCTGCAGTATATACTGCTCCAATGCTGTATGTATAAGAATATATGAATTATATGTACAGTTAAGCCGTATAACTACTTCCCTGATAGGGAAATAGTTATTACGAATGCTCTGATGTATAAGAGCATTCATTTGAACATCCGTAACTATAATTCACTCGTTCACCTCAATGGAAAGTGTAAACGGGCCTAAAGAATAAGCAGCGTTCATTCCTGCAAAACTGGAAGTAGTACGCCAGTACTTAATAGATCTGCCGTGAAAATTAGCCAAAAGGAATGCTGCTGGAGGAATGGCAAATTAGAACGAATAGAAATATCAGATCAGTAAAACGAATAGAAATAGCTATATCTAAAATACAAACCTAAACACTGCGGTAAAGTTTCTGTCCACTCTCCATCAACACATCTTGCTTCAGATGCGCCAATTAGCTTATAACCATCAAGGCACGTAAATTGGACGACTGAACCATATGTTTTATCTGTGCCATTTTTTACTCCGTTAATGATTCTTCCCAGTGATGGACATGATGCTATGTGCGAAATATATTAAAAATTAACACATATAATGCAAACTTACATGTGGTCAGCTCAACCATGCAGTTTTGTCAGTAACTTATTATTAGCTAAAAGAGAAAAAGTGAAAGAACGGTCGGAGGAAGCGGATTACAATGAAATCTAAATGAAAGATCGTTCGCTACGTCATTTAAAATTGCAAATAAACTTTGCCGAATGGTTACTTTGGATTGAAAATCAAACCCAACTATATATAACTTAGCTACATAGTTAAAGCATTTAAGCTGCAGTTTACTGAATATTAATAGCAGGTAAGTGCGGGGGTAGAATCTTATCATAGTTATATTCATCTTATTCATTTATTTTCACCATACACAAGAATTACAAAATTAATTTACAAGATTACAAAAGAAATACCTTATTTTAATTTATTTAATGAATCCATTATCCAGTAAAATCATTGCGACGAGATTAGGACGTAGTTTTTCCCCTTTATAAGCTTTTGAACGAGTCAGCTTCGGACAGGCAACATCTCACGAAACAGGGTTATGGAATGCGCGGGATAAACGAACAGTGTTGGGAAGAAAAATCTCGACATACGCTATAGAAATTTAACAGAAAGCACGCCGATTAATTTAACTAACCTTTACATGATGGAAATACTCCATTCCATTCTCCACGCTGACATGTCAATTTTCTCGATGCTTCAGGAACAAGAATTTGGTCTTGAGGGCACACGAATTCTACCTGTTTTCCGTCATGGAATTTATCTCCTATCACTCTTGCATTAGTATTTTCATTCGGATCAGAACACGTCTCTGTAAAATGGAGAAAAAATAACGCTATGTAAAGAGTGCGTAAAACTTTAAACGCACATAAAGTATAGAATATAACAATATAGAGTTTATGTTCGCGGACATAATGTGTTTTTGGCCTGACTCTGAATTCATACTGTATTTTATTAACTTTAAAGGGCAATTTTTGTATAAAAAATTATGCAGTGGGTTAACACTTTAGTCATTCTTCTGATTGGCTTAGATTAGCGGGCCGGTAAATTTATAATTTAGCCCGAAAAAATGACACTGCAATGCCCGCCATAGTTAGTATAAGAGAGATTACATAGCGGGAAGACCTTTTGTCATTACCAATAACGGTTAAGTGGCGTATTCAACCTATGCATTAGTCTATAATTCATTATTTCTGGAGAATATTTAGTATAGCAGGACTAATTTTGTCCAGTAGTCTGCACCTGCGGTCTTTAATATGTATATAGTTTCTTTAGCCTAGTTCACCTTTACAAATTGGTTTTGAAGCACTCCAGTTTCCAGTGTTTGTACATCTTAAAAATTCTTCGCCCACTAGAACGTAGTTCCGATCACAAACAAATCTCACTTGATCCCCTTCCACGTTTCCATTTCCGATTACCTGACCGCTTTCAATTGATAGAATGCTCCTGCAAATCGCTATATATCATGAGAATAAAAGCAGTATTAAATTACGGGAACGACTGAGTATTTTAATGAAATATAAAATACAAACTCCGTAAAGAGTAAACATTTTGAAAAATGTAATTGTCAAAAAATAATATTATTATAACTATTATTATAATAAAACATTTATAGTACGCGCGTGCTGATTGGTCGAGAAGCGTGTTTCTATAACTGTATAGAAACACAGGAATTTTGCCGCCGAACTTGACAAGCGAAGTAAAGTAGTGAGAATTTGTAATTGAATCGAATTGCAATATTTGTACAAAATCTTTTTTTTTAGTTATATTACAAAAGAAATAGAAAGCATTTTTTCCTGTGTTTCTATACAGTTATATAACAACACGCGTGGGAGTTTGGGAGAACGAGAAATTATCAGTGGGAAAACGAGCCGCTAGGGCAAGTTTTTCCACGTTTTTTCGAAGAAAACGGAAAATGTTTTCTATTTCTTAATTATGAAAACTTTATTTGACTTTTGTTTTTACATAATACAATTGCAAATCTCACTTTTCAAGGTAATTTACAATCGGCTACTTGAACCACAACTAATATCCTAATATAGAACAAAGACAAAAATTTATATCAATATAGACTACATTGACATATTATTATTTTTACTAATAACGATAATATTATGATATACTAATATGTTTAATCTTTACGGAGTTTCTATGGTTTTATATTTTAAAGCAGTATTAATAATATCAATTTTAAAATTAAAAGGGAAAGTTGTTGAAATAATTTTCCGAAATAATATTTGCGCTACATAAGACGATAATGATGATCCTGCTACATGCGTGTATAAATTTTGGAATGTATATGCATGCACAAATCTATCGTAGGTAATTTTTTAAAAGGTTGCACCGAAGCTTCGTTCCTCGGTTTCTTAATGCGATATCATTGTTGTGATAGAGTGTTACTGTTATAATATTTATGTTATAACATTACTCCACTTTAAATTTCGATTTAGGAAGCTCAGGGAAACACATGCAATGAATAAAAAATAGCAAAATATGAGTTTTTACGAACCCAAACACCGAGATAAGGTTTCTGTCCATTTCCCATCATCACAACTAGCTCTCGATGCGCCAATTAACTGGTAACCATCACGGCACCAGAACTGAACGGTCGAGCCATGTGTTTGATCTGTGCTGTTCATCACACCGTTAATGATTTTTCCCAAAGGTGGGCATGAACCTTTGTCGGAAAGATTGTATTTGATTCATAAATATATTGGTTTTAAAATTGAATCATGATATTAAATTGATAACTATCGCGATATCCCAACACCATTACCCTGCGAAAGCCAAAGTTGCACTGAAAAATTGTCTTTGTATTTTCCAAGCCTAACTTTGGGAGTGCGTAAAAACAATTTCACGATTTTTTTAAAATGACATATAACCGTTTTATCAAAATCTTTGCATGAAACATAAATTTCATTTTTTGCATGAAAAGTGCAAACATAAATGTGCTGTTTTTTGCGCAATTTCAAACAATTCCATGCAATTGTTTTCACACTTCATTTATAGACTTAGATTCGAACTGAGAGACCGTAAAAATTAGCGTGCTTCAGGCTATGAGTAAAAAAGCAATATGAAAATGGCTTCCGGAGCTAATCTTCATTCACTAACAACAGGAGCAAGCTTTAGCAAGATGGCAATCAAGCTAGGACTATTTTAAAAATGTCCCATTATGGACGTGTTTCAAAACTGCAATTTGCTGCTATATCCATAACCTATTATATAATATAGAAGTAACTGCATGAAATCGATCAACTTAAGGTGGGTTGATGTAGAAAACAAGTTTGTAGCGACAATTTTCAAATAAATCAAGCGTCTTTATTTCGGTAATATTTTTTCAGTCCTATATATACATCAGTATTGGTTGAAACGTAAAAAGAACATTAATCAATTCTGAAAACAATCTAAAGCTTTGAAGAGAACGATGCAGACTTTAACTTTGATTAAATTATTTATATTTACATTAAGCTATACCTTTGCACTGTGGTTCTAAGCCACTCCATCTTCCATTCCCTGTGCATCTTAAAACTTTCTCTCCGACCAACACATAGCCCTCATTGCAAACAAAACTTACTTCATCACCTTCTTCTTTTACATGGCCATTTTCAATGAATGAAATTTTTCTACAAATGCCTAAAATGAAAAGAATCAAATGAAGATTTTGCGTCAATCGTAACCCGCATACTCGAACAGTGATAAGTGCAGTAACGGTCTAAGCAGTGGCGGAGCTACGACGATAATTGGGGGGCTAATAATCATGTATATATTCATGCAGTTCTCCCCAGCGGATTTCGTTTGTAAGTGCAATAGCTTACAATAGAAATCCTTCGGGCAGAACTGAATGTATGAATATTCAAATTATCGTTATACAGGGTGTCCCAAAAAAAACGAAAACTATTGAAATCACTCATTGTTAAAATTTGAATGCCGTGTGCACGAGTTTTAACCCGTGGGGATTTAATGCAACTCAGTGAAATGCTAAATGCTTTGTGTTGCTAGAGAAAGGGGACATGTCGAAGGTCATGGTGATTGAGATGCACATTTAAATATTGTTAATAAATATCATTTTCGCGTACGAGCAAATTTTACTGCATCATATGCATGCATAAAAATGCTTATGGCAAATATTTACATACCTGTGCGTCCCAACAGAGTGCTTAGGCATTCAAACTGTAACAATTACATTGTTATGGGTGATTTCAATAGTTTTCGTTTTTTTTGGGACACCCTGTAGTTACGCCCCTGTGTCTAAGCCTAAGGCGCTGATTATATGTGGGGTTAGATGAGATGTTTGCACGGGCAAGACCCATAATATTTTCGTGTTCATATGAAAGTGGAACGTTTTTGTCTTGTCCCTTATGGACACCACAATGAGCGGAAGATTGTTTGCACCATAGGATTGCGATGCATGTCATTTTAATGCTCGCTCAAAATAAACTGTGTAAGCTTAGATATAATGGTCCTAGTAGAATCTTACTTCGACATTTCCATGTTGCACACTCTCGACCTTCTGAAGCCGCGCCAGGACATCGCCGGTTGTCATTCAGTATTAGGTTTGTTCCCGTACATGTCCTTGTTCGCACTTGGGTTCCCGTGTTACACGAAACAGTGCATTCGGACCATTCAGACCATCGCGACCAAGTGGCTGTGACTACAAAAAAATGAAAACAAAATTGCACTATTAAACACAGCACGTCATGTCTGAGAATCCAATTCTTGCCCTAAGCGGCGCTAAAGGATATGTGAGTCGGTTTTACATAATAGAGACCCCTATATTGGCATTTGCGGCATACGTTCTACATTTCTGGTGTATTAGCAAAGCCGCGAATTCAGCCTTCTGTATGTATTTCACGTTGGCATGTTGAATGAGAATGAATTATGTCAGTTCATCAATGGGCTGGATAAAGATCTAAAGGAGGTGTTGATTGGACAAGATCATCTTCTAAAAAGGCCATTTGAAAGCATTCTCAAGTAATTCTCTGCACTAGAAGTTCATGGTATAATAAAAGGACAAAGGTAATGAGCATAGCAACCTAGATAATCTTGTTCTAAGAGCAGTTGAGCAGAAAGTTGGAAATGATTAAAAAGGCTGCAGTTGTAAAGAAAAAGCAGGTAAACGCGTGGAGGGGGAAGTGACACCTAGCTTCAAACCCACTGATATCTGTCGAGCATGTAAGGGACAAGGACACTGGGCCCGAAGCTGCCCGTCTTTAAACAAGAAAGAGGCTGGCCCAGAGTCCCGAGCCCAGCCTTAGGTAACCAGAGAGGGACCATCATGTACCCTTATCGAAGTCCAGGGGAACAAATGAAAGTCAACACAGTACAAAAGGTAAATAATAAAAAAGTAAATCTGAACTTTCATAATCTCACATTGTTGACACGGCCAATTCAACGACTACCAGATTCAGGATGATCAACATCCAACTGTCTCTTCTATCCAGTCTGAGAATATTAATGTTTTGCAAGTGATTAGTATATTGAAATAAGTGAAACTGACCTAAAGGCGCAGGAAAGAGAACAACTTGAAAAGCTTCTCATTTCTTACTCAGGTGTTTTCTCCAAGAACAAACGAGACATGCAAGTTAGGGACAAAACATCACATACACCTGAAACCAGGTGCAGTGCCATTGAAACAAACATTACGCCGTATTCCATTTGCATACCAAAAAGAGGTTAAAAACGATTTGAGAAATATATAGAAAGATGGAATAATTGAAAAAAAATCGTGTTCCGAATGGACCAGCCCTTTGGTGAGCATCCTGTTTCACATCAATAGATATGGTATCTGGGTACCAACAAGTTGAAGTTGCGAAAGAGCACGGAGAAATAACGGCGTTTGTATCCCCATATGGACTATTTCAGTACTGTAGGATGCCCTATTGGCTGCCAGTGGCACCGGCAGCCTCTCAATCTGTTGTCAAGGACATAGTTCAAATATTGGAGACTGAGGATATCGTGGCCTATCTTGACGATGTTATTTGTTTCCACGAATCTTTTGACAAGCATTTACAAGGAATTCAGAAATTGCTTGAGATGGTAAGAAGAGCTGGTTTTAAGTTATCTCGAAAGAAATGCCAGTTTTCTAAGCGTTCCGTAAGATTTCTGGTTCATCTTATCGACAATGCTGGTGTTTAACCACTACCTGAGAAACTCGTATAATAAACTCGAAATAGCCGTTCCACTCCACAATTTCTATGGACAAAAGAATGCCGGGCTGCGTTGACCTTCTGAAGGAACGATTATGTTCTTCAGTAACATCGAAACTCTCACAACGAGTTGGTCGTTTTTGAGTGATGCCTCAGATTATGCTGTTGGTTGCTACCTCTAAAAACTACATAAAGCCGAAATGAACAACTCCACCACGGAGAAGGAGTGCTTGCATGGTAGTAGTTGAAGCACTGAAGCGTATCGTCTTTATGTTTTGGGGAATCAGGTCGATTATAGAATAATATGGATCGTAATAGATTCGGCAGCCACTCTGTTGTGTTTACGAACCTCCTCGGCTTCTGTGAAGTTTCAGTCAAAGATTAACGGAAAACGTAACGTTGAAAGTTTCGATCCAGCCGTTGTGACGCGGTCAAATGTTTCTTGCAAGTAAGTTTATGTTTTCCTGGTATATTTTTATCGTGGTAACTAATTATGTCCCTAGTAAAGAAAATGTATGTCTCGTTTTTAATATAAGTACATAAACTGTGAGAAAAAACATGATTTGAAGCTTTTGTTATGGAATTTTTAAGACCATCTCGTTCGCGAAAGCAGTTGTGATGTTAAAAAATAATACTACGAAAGTAAAAACGGATTTATAAAAAAGCTCAAAAATCTATGTGATAGAATAATGCTAGGAGTACTTATCTACATCTTGGACACTACGTCCTAAAGCTAAATACCAAACAATACTTTTGTCGTTGAAAAAATTCAAATATTCAATTGTTTGCGAAAAAATGTTAAACGTGGCCCGTGTCTGTAGTTTTGATGTCCAAAAAATTTGCTATTCAACCGTTACAAAATCCATTGTAAGACTCTAAAACGACAGCCAACGAAAATACGAACACAGGAAATAAAAAATAGTGGGTATTGGGTTAATAACTGAAAAATAAAAATGTCCTCAATTGAGGTAAATAAAAAAATATAAAAAAAATTTTTCTTCTAGAACTTTCCTACAAACATGCTAGCCCCAGGCCTAAAGTGCATCACACATATTTCACGCGATTATCCGGCGTTTCTCCACCCTACCTTATAACCGCCCTGATGAAGCCGAACAAACCTTGGACGGGTCGATGGGAGGTAATTAAACGCCTATGGGATGTAGTATACCGAATAAAGTACGTGAGCTCCGGCAAGGTTGGACTGAAGCGAAGGATTGTCCATCACAATCAGTTAAAAAGATTTTACGAGACCACAGGGTTGTATGTAGCTGAGGACGGTAATACAGTCGAGAACAAAAATGACGTTGTCATTGTAGACGGGCCAGATACCGACGACGAACGCGAGATACAACAGCGTCAAGACGAGGCAAAACTAGGACATGCGCAGGAACACGAATGTTCGCGCGCTTCTGTTTGTCACAGTGAAATGAAAATAACTGGAATGCTACCTTCTGACCGTATGTTGAAGTAGAAGCACTGAGCTAGTGAGCGGA